AAATATACACTTCATTATTTAAAATTAAGGAAATATTAATTGTCTGAATAGTATATCACTTTTATACTTATTGATAATATAAAAGATTTTAAATCTACAATAAATTAAATTTAAATTGAACATCACTATAAAAGACCCAACTGGATGTGCTGAGCGAGGGTTAGATAGTGTTTGGTTCGGGAGAAATTTTTTTTACTAGGGAAATGTAATTGATAGGAAAATGGTTGGAAAGTGAGTTTGATAGGAAAATGTAAAAAAAGTTGTTTGGTTGACCCAAATATTACCAGAGAAATTTATTTAAATATGCAAAATCTATGTTCGGGAGAAACTTTGCACCTGTTTTTTCACTTCCCCAGTCATCTCACAATACCACATCTCAAGTGGTATTCTGTAACAGTGAATTTCATCAAAAAATCAACACAAAAGTCATTTTCCCATCTATCCTATTTGTCTGGTATTTCTTGAAAAAACCTGAACCAAACGTGGTATTTTCCAATATCCATCTACACTTTCCCATCAATCCTAAAATAAACCTTCAACCAAACACTACCTTGGAGAAATGACATAGCCAGGCTCTTGTTCAAACCAATTAATGATGTCTTCCTTTATAAATAAAAATATTATTATTTTGATAGATAACACGGAAATATTCTTATTTAATCTCTTCTAACTATATTAATCTCGAAATACACTCTTAAAGCTATTTTCTAATTGAAATAGATGGTACGTTGCACCATTATCACCGAGGAAGAGTGAGATTAATATCCTTTAAAAGACAATTTTCTTTTAACTTTCAAAAAATTCTAAAAATTTGTTTTGACCAAATTTTAAACCCTAATTAAAACAAATCATGGAGCGCTTAGCTTGCCAATGAAACTATTTTTAGAGGTTTTTTTTTTTTCTTCTTCTCTCTCTTTTTTACCCATACATTTAAAAAAAAAAATTGGGGCATGGACCTTTTTCACTTTATTTTCATTGCCCTTTTCTTACGTATATATACTTTTCAGAAAAGATGGGTCCTTTAGGCTTTAGCATGTGGGAGATGATAGCATGCGGGCCCAACATGAAGAAAATTGTTGTCAAGAATCCAATTGATGAGAAGACAAGATCCATTCAGACTGACCCAAGTAATGCTTTTCCATCTAAACAATCAGTTGGTCTCGGATTGGATACTTTTACACCATCATTAATATTCAAACACTCGGAGTGGGCCCTTTCTTTACTTTTATGTGGCATAGCCATTAGCATGCTGATCAGAACAACATAATTAGGGCTCAATCAGCCTTCCACAACTCTAATTAAGCAAGATGCTAATGGGGAACCCCACAATAATGCTCAACGTTTCAAACCACCCTCCAATAAAAGTAAACATTCATGGATTATGTCATTATGGGTAAACTATAAATGATTTTGCTTTATAGAATAAAGCGAGATTATATTTACAAACTTTTCATTTATAAATTTTTATAAAATATGTTATTTATTCTCAGAAGTACACTAGGTTATACTATGTACTTCTGAAAATATATAGTGCTTGCTTGGATTCTCCATTTTTTAAGCTAGAAGCTACTTATAAATATAAATTAGGCCAAACAAATTTTGAAAAAAACTCTTATAATGAAAAGTTTTTTTTTATAATGAAGAAAAAAGTTAAAAGTTAAAAGCTCTAGGAAGAGTTTTTTTAAGCTCTTATCTATTTTTCTTGAATTATGTGCTTTTTTAAAAATGAAGAAGTACAAAGATAAATAGAGATAATTTTCTTAAAATATATGTTTTTAAGTAATTTTTAAGCTAAAATTTTTATGTGATTACCAAACAGCTTTTAATATTTTTTTTTTAAGTTTTTTTTTAATTTTAGCTTATAGTATAATTTATAAAAATTTATAAATAAATTCTTTAAAACAAATCTCTTGCCCTTGTGGTGCTAAAATGACTATGATCATTGACCACATATATTTGTACGACAGTACTTGATTCTTTCTAGGTTAACAGTTTATCCACTCACTGTCCCTTTTTTTTTTTTTATTACAGTGAACCCGTGATCCTTGGCATCGCCCCTAGCATAACTTTGTATCGGTGCATACTACCGAATAATGATCAGAAATGTGCCATATATTAGGAAAATTATATTTTTATGTTAAATAAGATTCATCTTTTATGTTATACTCACATAAAATGATGTGTCTTACTTTTTTTAAAAAAATAAAATAAAATTGTGAGCCTTATTTAATTTATCTTATAATATAAGATAACTTATCACCTACAACATAAGAGAAATAAAACTCCGTACAAAAATAAAGCTAACATAGTTGTTTGTCACTGAGCATCATTTGTAACATTATCAAGTTAGCCCCGTATAATGCGGAGCTAGACCTGAATTCTTCGTTGTTTGAGGGGGTCAAGCTCGAGAAAAATAATATACTCCCAAGAAAAAAAAGGTTATTGTGAGTCCACCGAATAGCTGATCTAATCTTAACTGTCATTCGACTATTCGAGTACATCTTGACAAATTAGACCTTGTACTCCCACATTTAATGACTCGATACATTATCTTATACAAGACAAAAAGAGATTCAAAAAAATAAATAAATAAAAGAAAAGTAAAAGCATGCATTTAGATCGAATCAAAGTTAAGCGAGTGACTACGATTTTGGAATTTTGATTCATTGCAGTCTCTCGTGTTTCGTCTAATCGGGTCATGAATGATACTTGACAAGTCGATATTGCTTTGTAAAAGAAATCATAAGAAATCTTTGTCGTTATACTTAATTTCCTTCTTTGGGTCGTTTATGATATGTACCCGGTCCTTTCCTTTAGCCTATTATCGTGCCTGATTAATTATTGCTCATATGAAATTCCATTTAGATAAAAATTACTCAGAGTATGTTGAACAACAATTTACGTAGTTATCCAGTGCGTGAAGAAAACGAAATTAAGCATATTTCTTTTGATAAAATTTTTTAATTATGATAAAAATGAAATGAAGCACAATTCTTTTGATAAAAATCAATGCTTAATTAAGCACGTATCTTTTGGTTTCAATGTTTTTAAAATTAAAATGAAGAAACAAATATCGACTTAGTGACAGTTAATTTGATTAAAGAGTTTTTTTATATCCTTCTAAAACATCTTAATAATCCTTTTAATCGAGATAGTTTTGTTAAGTTAAAATCACGATACATTTTAAATTAAATCAATATTGAATACACCTTAACTTATTTTAAAGACAGATTCATTTTAAAAGAACTTTTTTTATATCTACCAAAAAATAACTTTTTTATTCTAGTGCTTGATAAAAAAAAATGAATAATAAAATACATTCATTTAATATCTTGAAAACATTAAAAAAATTAATGCTTTATTTATTTAGAAATTAAGAGACTTATTAAAAGGATATAAAACTAATCATCTATTAAAATAAATTTAATTAATGTATAGAACTAATTCAACCCAAAATTTTAAAGTATTGGTTGATAACATTTTTAATGATTTATATTATTCTCTAACACACACTCTCATGTAAGAGCTCTTTGGACTTGAAACGTGGATATTGCATAGGTCCAATTTTTTGTTATTTTTTTTTACCTTGTGTTTAATTAATTCTATTTGAAAGTGGGTGCGGTAAGAATCGAACTCATGATCTTATGGTCACTGAAGCATGTCATGTAAAGAATCATTTCAACCCAAAACCTTCGCTAAGGATGGAACTCATAATCTTATGATCACTATGTAAAGAATCATTTCAATCCAAAACCTTAAGGTGTTGGATAACGACCTTTTTAAGGATTTATATTATTCTCAAACAATTAAGACCATTTATAGAAGAAGAAAAAACATATCAATGGAGATTATATAAATAAATCTTACCGAGTTTGTCTCTTAATCTTACAACTTTCTTTGTTATCGCTTAAATCTTCATTTCTTGAGCCTATAGATATTTAGTTGAATTTTCATCTAACTAATTATCGAATAAAATTCAGGTGGCAATAATTATGTTTATGCAAGAAAGTTATTACATCCTCCTAGCTTACTATGTAGGATTGTACATTTGTCCTCGTTTATTCATATATCGGCATTATAGCTTTAGTACTTAATGATGAACTTTACATACTTACATATTTATATATTGGCACTGAAATAATCTATATTAGGCGACACTTCGAGAGTATTCAATAGTTTCTCGTTCGTGATTGCATGTGGATATCCATACCCAAGGTAAATGCTTAAATTTTGTTGTGTGACTGATAAACTAGCAACTTTATCAGCTCATTGACTGTCTTGTACTTTTGTAGATCTAACTCCTCTGGACATCTTACATGTGTAGAAAGTAAATACTATTGAATAAAATTAATTGCCGGCCGGTAGAATTTTTTAAATGTGGCATCTAAGTAATAGATATCTAACCAATGGCTCATAGGGTGTTTGGCTGCAATGAAATAGAAGTCAAAGTTTTCGGCTAGCAGCCTTCTATAGTGCAAAGTGCACATGTAGTTGTCCTTTACAGTCAATGGTTTTCATAGAGATTAACATCCACCTATAACTATGCTGATCAAATAAACTATGCTATTGGCTTACTTGGGAGTCTGAAAAACTGTAATAAACTATGCACCGGAGAACATACTTGTCCTTTAACAGTCCCTAATTTTCATAGAGACCATCATAACATTGGATTTATCACCATTAAAAACAAATACACCTTTGAACTTTAAACAGATTTATGGAAAAGTTTAACACTCTCAAACATGCAAGAGAATTATTAAGAAAGGAAAAATTTATATTTACAGTTTTTTTTTTTATAAATTCTTATAAATTATTACGACTGATTATACTTCTTGTTTATAAATTCTTATAAATTATTACGACTGATTATACTTCAATGAAAAGTGTATAACCGGTCATACTTAGTGTAATTTGTTAAAAAAAATTGTAACCGAATCATTCTTCTTAAGAAAATACTAAAACAGATGGTTACAAAGTTACAACTTCCCACTATTAAAGTATATTAAAAAGCCTTATCCTTGCAGGGGACTAAAATTAAATCCAAAAGATTAAAAGGTGAAGATAAAAGAAAGAAAGAAGAACACATCTAGTAACCTTCCTTTAAAATGGATTCGAGTAATTTGCATATTTTTACAAATAGCAAAACAATACGCAACAAAGGATCCATCCCGTTTGAACTATTTAGACGCGGGATCACTCCATTTGTTTTAAAACGAATAAAATAATAATAAAACCTGACTCCTTTTTTATTTTTAATCATCGTTTTCACCAATAACTAATTTTTCTAAAACAAACTCAACAATTAGGGTCGAAAATATAAATTATAAAATAAAAAAAATAGTTAGTGATGATATCCTATTTCACAGAAAAGACCGATCCAAGAAAACCGAGTTAACTCAGCAGATTGGCTCGTCATGAAGCAAGGGCCGTGATTCTCCTACAAAGTCAAAATTACTACTATTACTTCGAACATCGACGTGGCAACACCTCTTGATATCTTCGAAGGTGGAGATGCAAGGTTCGGGTCGGGTCATAACCCGAAGAAGCTCTTCGAATAGAGACTCATCGCAGGGTATCGCAAGGGGGCCATGGTTGCAGAACCCGTACTCTTCCTCCGCTTGTACCAGAAGCTTCTTGAAGATCGGGTGGTTCAGGTAATTAGCGCACACAACGAACCTCCTCCTGCTGGGTCCCACACACACCGCAACGTGCCCCGCCGGGACATCGGACGCCGCTAATCTGGCTTTCGTGCGCCACCGGAGAAGCATTTGACGCACTCGAACAATGCGACGGATTTTGCTGCAGTTTCCGGTCGACGGCGACATTTTCTCGGGAAAAAAAAAAAAAAAAAAGTGGAGTGTGGAAAAAGGAAGAGAGTGGGTTTGTTTCGTTATTCGGAATTTGAAAGGTGGATGATTGAGTTAGTTGGGAATGTGGAATATATGGTTTGTGTGAGGGTTAAATGCCACTGGAGTTGGAGATAATTACGAGATTGTGCCTGTTGCCTCAATCGTAGTCAAGCCCATGTGACGATGGGGAAGGATGCGAGATGGGTCATGTGGGCTTAGGGTTAGCCCAGTAGTTCTGCTTCTTTGCTATCGTGCGTTGCAAATTGCAAGGGACTCGCTCACCTTTTATAAAGTTAAATTAAAGGTGAAATGTTAACTTTTTATCCTAAACATTTTTTTAGTATTGTCTGATACACTTTATTTATTTTAATTTTCAAAGTATTCTTTTTCTTGAATTTTCTATTCAGTTTTTCAACGGTGATGCTTCGATAGAAAAAGGACAGGGTCCCTCTGCTGTCAAAATATTTTATACATAACAGACTTTGGATCCATCTGTAGTGCAGCACTTACGCGTGAGAGTTAAAATAATGTTTATATTGTATCAAAAAAATAAAGTAATGTTTATATAACATTAAAGGGAAATTGTTTTCTTCAACTGTAGGAGATAACTATCTCACGTCACAGAGATATAAAAAGATGTGCCTGCAATTTCTTTTCTTTTTTATTTATTTTTAACTTGAGAGTTCTATATTTTTTATTAGTGTAGGAAAAAAAAATTTCTCTCATGTTAAATGAGAAAAGTATTACCCAACATTAAATAAGACAAAAGAGACCAGTCCAATGTATAAGTTTAACCTCCATTGGAATTTTTTACATAGCTACTACAACCACACAGATAAAAAGAAATCGTTTATACATTCAAATTTTAGAAGATCAAAATTCAAATATTAACTAATGAGTTTTGGGGATAACAATTCGGGTCGACTGGATACAAATTCAACACAAATACAAATACACTCAATACGAACACGACACAAATTTAAAATCGGATTAAAATTTTTGACATGATCTACTTATTTTGCTGGTTGACACAATACGACATGAATAATTTGTCAATCTCAAACTATATTACTTATGCAGGTTTACCTTACTCGAATAAACTATAAGAATATTAACGCAGGTCAATTTTGGGGTTACAAGTTGACACACGACATGACAAAAAAAATTTAAGGTGAATTTTTGCCAACACGAATTTGAAAACAGAATCTATCTGAATACAAATTTTTTTGTATCGTATACATGTCGTGTGAATGGGTAATATTGAAAATTGTCATCCTTAATTTAAAATTAATTATGTACCGGATTACACTTTGACTTAAAACAAATGAAATATTTATTTTTCAAATTTTAAGTAATTAACAAGCTCATAAAATTTTAAAATTGCTGCATTGTGCGTGACTTTGAAGTTTTTGAATGTTGCAAGTAGAACCCCAATTTTGTTGTTGAATAAAATGTAGTTCATTACTTTATTTATTTTGTGTTTTTTTACGCTACTCACATCTTGGTATCTGTACCCCCAATTATTTATAAAACTCACTAAAAAATATTAATAACCATATAGCTATAATTTAGCTATCATTAGAATTTAGAAACAAGAAAGGCAAAGAGGGCCTTTTCACTAAGTTATTCCTTTAATTTAAAAAAAGAAAATGAATAGAAACGAAAGTATCATAAATCAAAACAATTTTATTTTCAAGTTAGAATAAGAACAATTATGGCGTAGCTTTGTTTGTAGCGTGAATAATTGATCAATCCAAGAATAATTGAATCTGAACAGACATGAGACAACGTTGATCCTAGTCCAAGGGTTGTCCGAAGCGAGATTGCAACCGAAATTTTTGGGCTGTAACACAAGATGATTGTACTAATGTTTGATATCTTTACTTGATTGAGATGAATGGGATACCTGCAATGCATTTCAATATTCAAGTCAATATTTGATTTATGAGCTTAAATTGTAATAAAAAAAGATGATTATATTTAAACTTTGAGCCTTCGTTATATAACAACGGCATGTTATGTTTGTGCCGTCTTAATATTGCGGCACATTCCCATTTGTGGATTAAGGTGACCTCAACAACCTATCTCATTTGCGTAATACCTATTATTAATGGGTTATGATATTATGCCTATGAACTTTGTGTTGCTATCAATCGAGTTGTGTGTCTGCAGTCTTTTCTTATTCCCCAAGTCTTTATTATTCGACCTCTTAAGTTGTTATTAAATGAACCCCTTATTTCGCTTATTATGGATCGAGATCAATAATTAAAGAGGTTCACAATACATGTGCTTGCCCCAATTGATTATTATGTTTCCCTCAATCTTGTATTGAGATCATGGATTCATGGAACTCAAAACCTGATCTTTGTCTTTGAACTGCATAAGATCCAAACAACATAATAAAAGTCATGTTGCGAATCCTCTAGCTTTCACTATACTGCGAATTAGATATATATTTTGCACATACTTTTGTTCAATTACCTACCAATCAGGGCACAAGTGCATCCGAATCATTATGATTAGATAAATGATAAGAGCACTCAGGTCAAATTAAATAGTTCTTGTTGTATAAACCACCCCCAAAAAAAAATAGTTCTTGTTGTAATATAAAAAAGATTGTGAAGAAAGAGACAAACACGGAAAGACAAAATCAACTGCATTTCGTTGTGTTATGTTTGATTTTCTTAATCCCATGATTTTCCTGTCCCCAGAATCATTTTAACATAGTAATATGGGCATAAATCACGATTTTGGAATATATGCTGGGCCCAGTATGAACAACAAACAGAGAAAATAAAAAGAAAATTGTTGCTACCGTGGAGAGAGAAAGAGGGATAACAGTTTTGCGTTGTCTTCAATTCACCTGATTTTATATATTATTGTAGATATTGGGCTCTTAGATTCACCAAAGTTAGCTCAATTACGTTTTCTTGAAATACCTATAGGGTGCTCCTAATAACCAAAAAGGCTATTGTAGCCTTTTATTGTTCAAAGGCATGGGCTTCTCGAACAGTAGCATGACAAATATAGGATCGTAGTGGAGTCCATACGAGATTATCGGTTCCTCATCTCCCTGACAATCAGCATGTCTAAGTCTCGACCGATTTGCAATATCTACGAATTTTTCATCTCAAAAAAATTGTGAATTGAAGCTTCTGGAATACCCATTAAGCGTGTTAATCCATTGAATATTGTATTTTGATATTTCTGTTTTTAAAATTTATCACTGTATAAAAATGAGTGAATCTCACTAATTTTTTCTTTCCTCTTTACATTATGACCAATTCACTTTTATCCGAAGGTGACAGATTTTTTTTTTCTTTCTCCTCAACCTTTTCTCTTTTTCTCTCACATCCGTCCCACCAAAAACAAATTGTGCCGGGAGCACACAAATATCACTCCAATTCATGAAGGTAAATATTCGTTGCGAAAATTGTGGGGGTTGTGAAGAAATATTTAAGCAAGATTCAGCTGTTATTCAGTCGCAGATTATTTGTGTAAACCACAAATTCCCATTCATAGAGCTGCAGAGAAGCATAACACTAATCAATTCTAATTTCTAAACACAAACACAATACTTGGCAAGCTAGTACATTTCAGTGATGTTTAGTTGTCGATGACCAAACGTGGAGAAAGCTAACGACTACTATAAAACACCATTAACAAAGCACATCAAGCAAGCTACTTTCTGCAGTATGTTATCACAGTATACAAGTGGAACGCTTGATATTTCATAGCGCCATAATTTGACGTTAAACAATAGCATCTAAAAACTCTTAAAACTCGAGTTAGACGACAACAACGACATATTTAGCGTGATATGTAAATTAAGTATTTTATTCATTGAACCATATTAATTGTGTAAACCAAACATTTTCTACTTGTCCTGATAAAAGAGATTAATCGTTTTATTAAGAACCCATTTTTGGAAGAACATATTGAAAAACTCAAAACATCGCATTTTGTTGTGTAATATATTCTGAAATAATCCTCCATTTAGAAAAGTAGACCATTTTTATCTCGTTTTTCATTCATCGGAAGAATATCACAATTGACATTCATACATACCACAAGAAAATAAAGTGATTGACTCGTCTAGAATGAATCTGAAATTTCAAAATGCATAACAATTAGAAAGTAGTAATTACCTACGAATAAGACACATCGCAATTCAGTGAAAATATTTTTCCAGGCTTGAAGCGAATGACAAGACATAGCAGAGGCACCTTGCAATATAAACTTGGAACTCAAAATAAGACAGGCTATTTATTGAAACAAGGCAAAATCGTGATAATTGAACATTTTCACATTGCACTAAACTCAATGCTTTAAGGTCGTCCAAAGCTTAAACCAGGAAAAAAAAATTGGGAGAAAACATTGTACAGTTCCTTGTCATGAATTATTTCAGCAAATAGCCCCAGCGATCACATTGCTTTCAGTGATGAGCCTTCGCTTTAGCTTTCTCTTGAGACTTGGCTTTTGCCTGAATAAAGAGAATCAAACATCAATGACAGCACGCCAAAAAAAAAAGAAAACAAACAGAAATTCAACAAAGCAAACAATAATCATAAGAAGTAGAAGCAAGGTAAAGCATGCTAAATTTCCTACATAATCTATAAATAACAAATGAAAAAATGGGTGGTTTTCAGAACTGTGAGAGCACTAAACCAGACTATTAAAGACATATGACATGACACAGCACAACAATACACACCATTGGATTAAATACAGATTATAAAATGATATAATAAAACTCAGATCAGATCTGAATTACATAAGTAATTTCCCAGCATCAAGGGACTACTTAACATTCGTATCAAGATCATTGACTAAAACATGACTCAAGCAATGAACCTGGCAAAGGGATTTAATTCAAGCTAAGACTGCAGATCTAGCCTGAAAGCAGTATCAGTCAGGATCTGAAAACTGAGGTTTTGATTAATCACACAAACAATAATAAATCTGTGTTTTCCAGTCTAAAAATTAAAATCCCTTAAACATCAGCCATTATGCTTTGACAGAAAATGAGTGAAAAAAAACTGCAATTCAAATTAACATTGATTTATAATTATTTTCTATGAAAAGTCAAACAGGGATTCGTTAAATACCTTGAGATACTTGAGCTTGATGCTTCCATAAACAAGGCCAAAGGAGAAAGCAGAAGCTCGAGCGACCTGCAAATGCAAAATTTTATTAGAGAAAATAGAAAAATTATTTTTACTCAATTTGTGCCTTTTTATCTTTCTTTCTTTTTATTTTTTCTCGGGAAATAAACAGAAAAAGGGGAATTGAGGACATACCAAAGCTAGGGTGCTGGTACCAGAATAAAGTCCTGGTGGCGGCGTCATGGGATTGATTGTTGTTGAGCAAAAGAGTGGAACGATGGAATGAAACGGCTCCGAACGAAGAACAAGACACTCAAATCTCGATTATCGAACCCTAGGAAGGAAGGACCAGAAACAAAGAGTGTGACTCGCCAACTTATACGATGTCGTTTGATAAACAGCTACCTTTTTTTTATATATAATTTGTGATCCAAACCCCATGAGGCCCAGAAAACTTAATGTGGACCTCGTATTGAGACCCAAACCCAATAATTTTTGTGCAACTGAATGCTTCAGATTTGGGATGGATTGCGTATTTTTTTTTTTTTTTGGGTTTTTTATTAAACAAAAAAAATAAGGGAGACTTGGAGCCTGCTGACGTTGAACAGTTGCAACTATATAGATTCCGAAATTGGGAACCGTGACCATTTTGTCACTGTTCACTAAAATATTTACCAGACTGTTATGTTAACAGTAAAAATTTTCAGAATGTCACATGACATAATTCTCTACGACTGGTAAAAAACCATTTTCGTCAATAATTTTGTGACACATGGCACATTTTTATAGGAAAAAAATTGACGTGTCATAATTTGCTACCAGTGGTAGCGAATTTGATCTGCAATATGGTCATGTGACATGGCAATAAAATTCGCTATTAGTGGTAACGAATTATAACACGTAGCATTCTGGTAAAAAATATTGTTCGCGTGATATTTAAGTAAAATTTTTGTCAAAAAATAACATTTTTGTCACTGTTCCCCGAAATTGACTTCACTAAAGTGCAATTAGAGCATAAAATATAAAGTTATTTATGCTGATTGAAAAAATTAACGATTAAAATTGTGATAAGATACATACATTTTATGTAAAAGTGATTTTCTGATTATGCATCCAAACATAAAATAACTTTATCTTTTAAAAAAAATTCTTTTAAAAAAACAGTACATAATTTTTATTTTTATTTTAAATTTGTCCAAATGGGCCCTTAGTCCTATCCCACCCCATTGCAGCAACTGAATGCTCTAAACGGGCCCAATATAAGAAAGGATATTCCCAAGAATATTCTCGCGCTTGACGTCATTTCAAATTCAAGAAAGAGGAAATGTAAATTATGTAGAACCACTTTGTCTTAAAAGCTTAAAGCCCAAAAAACTCGACGTTGAACTAAGTCCATTCCTCATTCCTGGCCCTTTGATAATCACGTATCGTCCAACATTGCCTGGGAACTCAATTTTGTGTGTCGGTTTTACACGAACATACCCATTTTTTTTCAGTTGAAAACTCAGTAAATGCACATATATTATAATTATTTTGTGGGTCCAGTCTACTCGACCTTATCCTACTTGAAAAGAGTTCTGAAATCAGAGTTTTGCATCTCTTCGAAACTCTTTTGTTCATTTGTTTTGTACTGAGTTGATGTACATTGTATTAAGGAGTTCAGCATTTTAATATTAAAAAAGTCTAAATTTTATCCTGACTTTTGCTATGCCATTGCAGACAGCATTGTTGATTGTGACTTGACGGAAAGCTAATATTATTGTTGGGTTTAATGTATCTCATGTTCTAGTAGATGATTTAACGATTTGACGAAGCTACTTGGTAATATTATATAGAGTAAATGTCTTTTTTATTTTTTAACAAAAAATTCAGTTTCTATTTTAGTTCTTTATAAAAAAAAAAGTTAGTAATATAGTTCCTATAAAATTTAAAGTGGACCTATTTTAGTTTTTTTAATGAAGTAATATGATTCTTTTTTGAATTTGTGAAGGACCACGATTTTAACTAAATTGATCCACTTTAAATTTTTTAAGAATATCGAAACTATTTTTTTTTAAAGGACTAAAATAAGGACTGTGTTTTTTGTTAAAGATTTAAAAGGATATTTACTCTATTATATATTTTCCTTAAAAAATGTGGTATAGCCTTAGTATTATTGGTTAGATTTTTAAGTATAATATAACATTTGCACGAGCTGAATTTTATTTAGTTAAGTCTTTTGGCATTGGCCGAGTCTTTTTCTTGACTCTGTCACTGCCTACACATACATAAAAATATGTGAGGTTCATATTTTATTTTTTTTCTTCTCATTACATGATCCTACATAATCTTCACATACTTTTATATATATATAGGAGATAAAATTATTTTTTATAATAAGATAAATATTAATATGATCATTGTTCTTAATATAACATTATCCATTGATTATATATAAAAGGAATATTTAAGATAAAGCGTCGTGATTACTAATGAGTGGAGCGTGGTATTGTATATCCTAGCTTGTCTAGACGCGGCTGTCGTCTACCTTCTATGGTCATTGGTCCATATGTTTGCTAGCCACTTGTGCTGGCAAGTGGCCATTTGGACTATTACAAAAAAAAAAAAAAAAACCAAGTGACATTACTGTGTTTGCATGAGTACTTACAAATTTTCCAAACCCGCAGTTACGGAACATCAATATCAAAAAAGGTTCGAAATCTGCAAGGCAATGCCCATGATACTACAGTGCAAGTAGGGTGTTAACGGATCGAGCCGAGCCGAGCTTTGATCTTAAAAGATTAAGTCTGTATTTAAATGTGTCGGTCATACCAAACCTATTACCTGTTATGAATATAATTAGGGTTTAGGATTTGGTCTGCCTTATTTACAAAAAATAAAAGTCTGATTTAGTCTGTTAAAAAAAATAAGACAACAAAAATTTATCCAAACAGAATATACAATCAACAATACTAGTAATTCTATAAATATTCATAAATTCAATGTATATCCAAACAACATAATATAGAACAAAATTATTCAAAAAGTCTGTTTAACTAATAAAATAGGGGTGAAATGGATTGAGAGGAGAAAGAGGGCTATTACAAATAATATAAAAAATAAAAAAAATAAAAATTAATATACTAGGCCAGCCTGAGAGGCTCTAAGGCCGAGCTTTTGAATTGGAGCTTAAGCCTGTTCTGTCTGAAAGACAGATATGTCCAACCGGTGGCTGGTATATTTTATGTAGGATCTAGGTGCCCTCTCTCAAGTATCTATGAATGAGATACCCTTGAGGGTAGGCTGATCACTGTGCACAATAATAATCGACATAGTCAAGGCGTGGGGTGTGTGCACAGTGACAAGCTAAGAGAGGGTTTAGAGAGTGTCTGTACCTTATTGGTTTAATCTTGTATTTATAGATGGGTTACATGAAGGAGTGCAATTCTGGGCCTCTTAAGAATATTGGGGGCTCAAGTCCAACTGTTTAGCTGTCTGGATAGGATTGTCATCAATAGGAGATTTCATTCCTTTTGTGTTGTCCTTTATTGATCCTTCTAGAATACAGGCATTTGTCAGGTCCATAACAGAGCCTTTTTCATTAAACGAGCTTTTATACAAGTCCAAACCTGATTCTAACAATCAATAGTAAGCATGTAAGCTTAGGCCTTCACGAGCCGAGCCAAAGGCCCCTGGCTCGTTTATCACCCCTAAGTGCAAGTATATCTGACCAAATTCCAATCTATCCAAAAAGAGAAAAATAAAATAAAATAATTCTTGCTTTGTTGGTTTGAAAAATCATTTCTTATGATATATTGAATAATCAAATTTAGAAACTATTTATCTCACCAACCATATCTCAATTATAGCTTATAATTTATACGGATTCTTTTTTTTTCTTCAGTCGTCTCACACTTAAGACAGTGTAGGGATCGCTGAAGAGATGAATTAGCAATAGAGTTCGAGTTATATCAGTTTCAATTCTTGCATAAGGCAAAAGAATTATTCATGTCTTTAAACTTTGCGTGGATTCACTAACTTTCTGACTGAAGAGGGAGGAAATCAGACATATAAAAAGAATAAATTCTAGTGTTACTTGACGGAATCTCAAAAATCTTTCACGTAAGGTGGAAGAAAAAAGAGAAACCAATGGCCGAAAGTGATCCGAATCCAATTCAAATAAATTCTCAAAATCAACTAAAGATGTTTTAGTCTCCAACGTAGCCAAGAAAGCATAGGCGGCTCCTCAAAAGGAAGCTTTCGATACAAATTACAAAATCAATGGTCAGTTTCATTTACAAGGATATTCCTAATCTTGACGTGCGGTTTTGTTAAAAATTAAAATTAAAAATTACATACACCCTAACTGTATATGATCAGAAAATCAAATATTTGTCAAAGGTGTCAACACACTAAATTTGTGCCAATGAATTTGATTGCCAATGAATAAGACATTAAAGATATTGTATACTAAACGTATCAGAACAAAACGGAATTTAAAAAAAAAATACTTATCGTATTAATTATATTTTATATTTTTCTAAAAAAGTAAAACTTAAGAAAAAGAGTATAATATGACTGAATGTTTCATTCTGTTTTTTTTTTTTTAAATATTTCAATCGGTTCATTGCTTCGTAACTAATTCGATTCGGGGCGGGTCCAAAATTAAGAATTATGTTTCATTCTATTTTATTTACGTATCAAATGCCATCCATTTTCCTATTTTTTTTTTTTAAAATATATGTACAGTTTCTTGCTTTCTTTCCTTTATTTGATTACCAAACTTTTTTAGCTTTTCACATTATTACATGTGGAGTGCTTCAGTGCTTGTATTAGCCACTAAAAAAAAAAAAAAAAAAAAGCATATATTTAGTTTTTGAGTTTGTTTTTTCTAAAATTACTTTAGATAACTTTATTTAATGTTCACCGAAACGACGTCGTTTTGGGACGAAAATCATGGTGTTTTTGTAATTTTAATTTATTTTAGAGTATAATAGTCTTTATCATTTTAATTTTTTAATTTTTCAACCCTAAATCGACGTTGTTTCGACGAACATTAGATAAAGCAGTCTAAAGTAACATTAGATACTTTTTTTCCTTAATTTTTTTAGTTGATTAAACAGTTTTTTCGTCATAAAAGCTGTTTTTATTTTTTTTGAAAACACTGTTTTTAGTTTTTTTGTAAGTGATGTTAGACTAAAAATTATTTATTAATTTTTATATTAAAAAATATTTTTCCAAACCATTATATTAATATATTTTTACAATTTCATAAAAAAAATAAAAAATGATAATTTCATTAAATAAAATACTAAACCCAACAAGTATTATTATTGTTATTATTATTAGGAAAATATTATTCTCATTTTACATAAGAGAACTCCTCTCATATT